GCCCCTGTGTCCAACCTGGCCTTGGACACTGCCAGGGATGGGGCAGCCACAGCTTCTCTGGGCACCCTGTGCCAGCGCCTCAGCACCCTCACGGGGAAGAGCTTCTTCCTTATATCCAACCTGAACTTCCCCTGTTATAGTTTAAACCCATTACCCCTTGTCCTATCGCTACAGTCCCTGATGAAGAGACAGAAACTTAAGTGACCCTGCAAGACTCCTGTAAAATAGCATTAAAGACCACAACTAAATCCAAAGAAATGCAATATAATTAAGAGGAATATTCTTCCTTTCCCATAAATTGTTCTGTTTAAACAGATGTCTTTTATTGATGTTCTACATATTACATCAAAGAATGACAAAATTCAGAGCTGTTAGAAGACAAACTTTTGAATTTAGCACTTGAATAACTGCAAGAAGACATTTAAGTGAGTCTCAACACTAACCTAACAGATCACCATCTTTAATCTGGAAACAGGCTGGAATTCATCTGGCAATTGGCTGTCACAGGAGTAATGATGACATCTTACAGGTAAGCTGCAGCCCTGCAGGGTTTCTTCTTCACCCTGCTGTGCTCACAGCAATGGCTGAGAAAGAGCTTCCTTTAAACTTTCAAAATTAAGATTACAGCTATAAACTGCTTGCCCAGAGCAAAACTAATGATGGAGAGCCCAAACCATTAAATACCAGTTGAAGCCATACATGTTACTCGAGAGGTTTTGGGACATTTGCATATCTTTATGAGCATTTTACAGGTATGTTGCATATGTGCATTAAGTCAAACTTCACCTTACTGACCACTCTGAACTGTCACTCATTGGTGCACAGTGGTTAAACCGCAGCAGTGAATGCGAATGGGCCCTGTCCAAGACAACAGGAGAACCTGTCAGACAGGAATTCCCACAGGTTTTGTAATCCTCAATCTCATGCTGCCTGTGCAATGCTGCCTTCCCCCTAAAACATGTGCCAAAAAGCTCCTGAACATGTCAGAATGTTTTCCTCCAGTGCATAGCTCTGCAAGACATGGTCTGACACCGTTCTCTTGATTCAGGTTATGCAAAGAAATGACTGAACTGGAAAATCAACGTTATATTTACAACAAAGTTATACATTAAACACTAGGGTACATGCTTTCAGCTACAAGACATCAGGAGTTTTCCCTGAGAGGAATGAAGGGGAAGTAGATAACAGAACAAGCTGATGCTCTTCCTCAATTCCCAGAGTTCATTTTAAAGCCATGCACATCTCTACTAGTCAGTGCAAGCCAAACTTCAAACATGTCTGTGCAGTATCTGCCAGCTCCAACACTTCACACCACCAGCTAAAGGCTGCCCAAGTAGGTTTTGTTATGAAGCAGAAAACTAAGCTGTTTTCCAATAGGAAAAAACACAGAACTCCCAATATCCCCTCAACTCCCAATTTCTTCAGTTGCATCACACTGAATATGACAAATAAAGTATTTAAGAATCAAGGGTGATAACAGGATGGTGAAGCATCAGTAAGCAAAAAGAAAAGCAAAGTTTTGGATGGGACTTCTCCTCCTAACAGTTCATGTGGACTTAGGAGGGGAAAATGACATGAAAACGAAGTGTCAAGAGACAGATTACTGTGTGCTTTTCATTGCTTTTCACCATTTCCTCATCATATTCACACCCGAAAGGTGCTCCCGCTCCAGAAGGTGAGGCTGGGCTGAACGAGGCTGCTCAGCAGCTTGCCCAGGCTGCACTACATCCCACATATTGGCTTTCAGAAGGGCACCGAGCTGATGGCTCTGCGAGGGCACCCAACC